GCTGTACAGCGCGTCTACTCCTATGGGTAGTGCGACCTCCCCAAGATGGCGGCCCCCGCGGCTGTACAGCGCGTCTACTCCTATGGGTAGTGCGACCTCCCCAAGATGGCGGTCCAACGGCAGTACAGTGCGGGCCGTCTATGGGTAGAACGACCGCTCCAAGATGGCGGCCACGCTTCTAGCACTGCAGCAGCCAATGATTTCTCACCAACCCACGCCTTTAGGGAGGGAGATCTTCCTAGTAGAGGCTGAGCGACGACTGATGAACCTGCTGTAACATTTTTAGAGTTTATTTTAAATCCGACTTTTTAATTGACTTTGTTTCTTAGACATCATCAATTAAATGTAATATATATGAAGCTACAGAAGAAGGGGATGGCTGTTATGATGTTTACCTTACAGTTCGGGGTTCTGCTGTTTGCGGCTCTTCTTGTTTCTGCGAGTAAGTTTGTTCTAATTATCTGGAAATATATTCTCTTTAGATTTAAAGCCAAACTGTTTAAAGAAATTCAGTTTCACACAGAATGGACTTACTTTATGTCAAAGTTTATAAAAACAAGTAAATCTAAAAAAGTTTCACTCATAAGAAACATTTTTCACATATTTAATTATTAACTTTTTGAGTAAAAAAAGTTGTTTTTCCATTGTGAGGCTGAAAGTTAAAGAAGCGCATATCTGTATTTTTCCTCAGCCTCGCCCTGTGCAGAATAGGGATAATGATGCGTTCACATTACCTCGGAAAGTCAGAACACGGTAATAATGAGATCACACTCGCGTTGAAGGGGTTTTACTAGAAAATCAGTAAATCATTAAAATGTTAATTGTCCAGATTAACCATCAAAAGAAATACATAAATAAATAAGACTCTATACGTTTAATTTTTGTCCCTTTTTCATTTAATGCATTTAAACATAAATGGGTATGTGTACGATGGCGTGTATTTCCCAAATTGTGGGGACCGTTTTCCATCATGTATAGCACATCGTGGGGACTAAGGGCTCTAGTGGAGACCAACCTCTGGTCGCCATGGCTACAAATGCTTTTCTGTGGTTAGGTTTAGGATTCAAAGTGTGAATTAAGCTTATGTTAGGATAGGGTATGAACCACTAACGGTTAGAGTCATGGTTAGGCTGTAGAATTGGGCTAGAAATGAATGGAAGTCAGTTGAAAGTCCCCACTAGGATAGAGACACATGCTTGTAGGTGTGTGTGTGTGAGTCACTGGTTGAGTTACTTCAAGATTTACCTTAAAGTTTCTCTATAAATTGCAGTAGGGACATAGAGATATTTTCATGGTGCATTTAGGTATGCCTCATACACTAGATGCTCCATAAGAAAAAAACCCTAATATAATCTAATTGATGTGTTTTATTTAATATTTCCTTGATCAATTTGAGGTAGTTTATCTGTGTAGGTGGATTTCTTAATGGATGACCAAGACTTCAAGAATGAGTTCAAAAGATCACTTTAAAAATATCAGATTTTATGTTTTCTAATACATTTTTCCTACTGGCAAAAAGAAAGTTTAAATCAGCTACCCTTAGGCTTTTAGTGGCAGTGAGAACAGCTCACCACTCCTGGTTAAACAGCTTAGCTCCAATCAGCATGCAGTAGGAACAGCAGACTCGGTCCACCTGATAATTGAATTGATGCCCTTGAATGCAACATACGTACAAAATCACAGCAGTCAAGTCTGCTATAACATGCCAGAACAAACAGTGATTCACGTTTCCTACGCTCCATCTGTGCCATGAACTCGGCCACAATTCACTGATATTTTACTGTTCAGAAGACAGACAAAAGAGCATGTATTGGCTACGCCCAGGCTTTCTTCCATGTTACTCTCCATGGGTTAAGGGCTGGTTATTCTCACGCAGCACCATGTCGCAGATATTTTTGATTTATGCCAAATATTGAAGCATTGTCTGTGCTATGTTATTCTACGCCACAACGCAAGAGGGACAATCAGGAACTAGCTGTGGGTCTAGATACGGCCAAGGCGGTGAGGAAGTGGGGCCAAGTTTGTGCGACAACGGAGGGACATGAGGGCGAAAAGAGCGAGGATCCAGGTGGAAAAACGGTCCCAGCGTTCTCGCGTACCTCACTCTTCTAGCTGGTCCATCTTCATGAGTGGTTTTCCACAATGGCGATCATACAAACAAAACAAGCCGGTAAGGTACCAAGCAGGAAAGACGCATAGTGTAGAGAATATGTAGATTTGACCAATCCGAGGCCTCATGTCTGCGGTCACCTACAATTTGGTAGAGGTGCAGCAGAGTGTCTGCGGAAAGGGGCGGGGCACATCTGCGTTAACTGCGACACACATGCAGACGACCTGGTTTCTGTGTATAAACCAGCCTCT